TAGTACAGTGGGTGTTTATCCCTTTTATCCCTATCATGATGACTCACCTAAGGGTAACATGTCCTTATGGACACCATAGGGACACCACATGTTAAAGAAAACTTACTTGGGTGAGTTGTACCCACTTAGTCATTAAATTCCCCAGATATTTTGAGATGCACCATTTTTTTAATAAAAGAACCTTAGTTGTATACTAGATTATAGTATTAAAATTTTTCTTGTAGTATCAATTTTGGTCATGTGTCTTCTAGCTATTCATGCAAAGTCACAACGTGCTATTTTATAGAGAATAACTAGGTGTGGTGTTACAATCTTCTTAACTATTTTAATTCCACAAACTCCTGAACTCTATAACCCATGAACTTTTTCTAGTCTAAACCCCCTTAAAATTTTCATTTTCCCCTCAAAGTTACACTGTTAAGTCCAACATATCGCGGTCTTGGGACAACCAAAAATAGAGGACGAGAATAACCCCCCACTCTAGAAAATTACCGCTTAATCCTATCTACTATTTTCATTAGTTCTTCAATGATCGAGGGGGTACTTTGACCATAACAACTTGACTGAATAAACACTAGAAAATGTTTAAGAGGTTTAGTAACGTAAAAGTTTTGTAGTTGTCAATTATGTACAAAACCCCTAAATATGGAGGGTTTAAGGGAGTACTTTAAAATACACTACAGCTGCGTTTGGCAAGAGGCTAAATGAAGAGTTAAGCAGGTTTACCCCCTTCATTAGCCCATCAAACAGGAAAAAAAGACAAAGAGTTAACAAACCCGCACGTGAGCACAACAGCCCCTTTAACCCGTCAAAAGAAGGGTTAACAATTCTTTACTTTATAAGAAGGCGGAAAAAGGCTTGTTCTTCTCACGTGAGGGTAGGAAGCGGAATTTAGGAAAAATCTTCATCTGGATCTTGTGCGGGTAGGCGACGGAGTTCGGCAACGGAATTAGGTGAATTAGGCAGTGGAATTTGGAGGGAAAGAAGTACAGGGAAATTTTTACAGGAAAATTTAGCGGGACTAGGGAGTGAAATGAGGTAATCCACCCCCCCCCCAAATTTTGTTTCATAGTGGGATTTTCTCATAAAACACTCAGCCGGTTGCTAATCTCAAGTGACGGAGAAAGCTCGCATTAGTCCCCTCTGGCGTGGCGTGTGTTGCTCGGGGCGTATCCGGCAGGGGCGGCGCTCCTGCAGAGGCGCCTGCTGAGGCTAAGAAGGAGAATAAGGAAGAGATCGTGGAGGAAGAGGACGATGTAAGATTTATCTATCAATTTGGTCCATTTTTATTATAATTTATTGTTTTTATGTATTTTGTCGATTAATTTGGTTTTTTGTTTCTTTATTTTTTTCAATTGTAGGACATGTGCTTTAGTTTGTTCGATTGAGGTTATGGAGATTTGTTGTTGTAGGCTCACGATATCACGAAGGACTTTTAGTTGTTAGATGTTGATGGTTAGGTTTAGATTTTGACAACGTAGTTTTAGAATAAAAAAGAAAATTAGTCTTTTGAATTTTGAGTTTAATTTTTGGGGTTGCTTTTCATGATACCAAGTAGAAATACGATGAATATATTGGTTTGTATTTTGGATATAAGAACTAAAATTAGTTTATGGTTTAACGCTTTTGTCATACCTTATAACATAATTCTATTTGGATGTAGTTGAATCCTAACCCTGAATTATTTACATATAATAATCACCGTATTATTTTATGCGCTTGAGTAAAGCATCAACTGAGCGAATCTGCTATGCAATGGCAATAATAATCGAATTAATATGCTTCATTTATTATTAGATATAACATTCACTATTTACTATTTCCTTGGATAATGATCAGTACAGACACATTGGAGTAAGTTTGAAAAAAAATTGTTCCATCTGCTTCTTTCCTGTTGTTTCTTTGTGCATGAAGGAAATATAGCCTGGATATTCTTAAGGTTGATGGTAGTTGCTAGTTTTACTTAACTTTCGAAGGAGGTTTTTTTTGTAGTGGTTCTGCATGATAACCTACCATTCTGATGGGAACAGTCTAGACGATAACTATGATGACAATGCACAACTTTAATATTTTGTTGTATCTGCTATAGGTGCTTAGCACTACAAATTCATTTTGTTATTGAATTTGAGTTTCCTCTTAGGTGTCTTTAAGTTGGTGTGTTTTGTGATGTAGTAAGCCTGAAAGGAGTTAAGCACTAAATGCCAGTACATAATGTACTTATGGGTCTCAGGAACTTAAAGCTAATGTTCAGGTTTTCAATCAGTCAATGAGAACATAGTAGAAACAAACAGAAAATGCAGGAAAATCCAGAAACATGACTGATAGAAATTTATGTTGTGTTAGCAAACCATAGCTATAAGCTGAATATGATGAAGTAGGTTGGGACGATTGGTAATGAGTTCAGCTGAATTTTAAGAAAACATTTTATGCTACATTAGTGGAGAATCTAGTTGGTGATAGCTTATATTAAATGTGAACATCGCGAAGTAGGTGGTATTATGATCAATAATAGGTTGACTGATTTTTGAGATTATAGCTAACTCAAGCTCGAGTTTAATCTTTCTAATCAAATGCTTAGAATTCATGGTTGTACACAGAGCGGTCTTAAAGTGTATAGAAGTATGACCATATTTATCTTTGTTTTTTCCCATACAGATAAGGATAAAAGTTCAAATATTGAACTTGATATCATACTTAAAAAAAGACCTAGTATGATTGGTTTTAAGTTTTAAGTTTTATGTACATCAACTGTTAAGTACATGACATAATGTAACTTACTGCATCTAGAAAATAGAAAGTTCAATAACTTATAATGTTTGTTACCACATAATGTAACTTACTACATTCTCCATTAGCCCATATCATTATTTTCAGCTTCTTTCGCCTAATTAGATACAAATGTTGTATGTAATTGAACAAGGAAATAATAAATAAGTTTAATTCATTATTCTGTTATATTGCTCTGAACATAGTTGTTTTTTCAACTTCATTTGTGATTTCCTTATTGTAGAATGTTGATACTTTTTTCATATGGATCTACTCATGAAGAGAATAACAGTTGTATATGTTTCCCTATTGCAGAATGTTGATACTTTTTTTATTTATGTTTCCTTATCGCAGAAGGTTTCCGAAAGTAGCAGAAAGGATGAAGGATGGTCTGTGGCTGAGTTTTAGAAGACCACACATCTTATAAACTTTGTTGTTTATTTCAGTTTGTTAATCATACATTCTGTATGTTGTTTGTGTTGTTTTGACTGCATGTGTGGTTTGAGGATTGCCTATGTTATTGTATTGCACTGCTTAAAAAATTTTAGGCTTTGTATTTGGCCTGCGGAGTTATGTAATAGATTGTTTGTTCAGTATGGGGTTTGAAATTTGAGCTCGTTATCTATTTTGTAGTTAAAAAATTTGGATCTGATTATTACTTTTTTCTGCTTTGTCACTTCTTGTCCATCCCTGTGCAGCACTAATCCCATTGTTGTATGTTGCATGTACTCAATTCTTGGTTGTTTATTCAGATCCTATAGGGTCAGTTTGGTGATCTTCAAATACCTTGGTCGGGACCAATCCTTATCCAATTTTAAGAAGAAATGGTTGTGTGTTGCATTCATCCTGATCCTGGAGCTGGTTACTTTGTTAATTCACTTTGATTCCTCCTTCAGCTGAGTATGTCTCCCTACAGCAAGTTGACCATGGTTATGTATGCTTAGCTTAGTACAAACTTTTTTAAGCATGTTAATATTTTATTTCAGTCCTAAATATTGATTTGTTTGCGGCTTGTAAAAATAATGGGGTTCTTAGTATACATGGGAATTGTCCAATTTTTTCGTTTTTGATGAGGTAATTATTTATAAATATTCAATAAGGGCGAAAGTGATATTTTTTTAAAAAATAATGAGATTAATCTCATTTAACCCCTCTTCATTTGCGAAACACAAAAGACTTAACCCATTGTCTTAACTATCGTATCCAAACAGGTTTAGAATTTTTTTAACTCTTCAAGATGGATTAACTAAGTTAACCTTTCTCTTTAATCACTCTTCCTTAACCCTTTGTTTGAGTTCGCTTGACCGTACTACTTAAAAAAAAAAAGAGCCCCAGTAAATTTTCATAATCACTTTTGGAGGACAAATTTTCAAAACCAACCCTTTTGGTTTTTTATTTGTAAAAAACGACCTATTTCAGTTTTATTTGCAAAAACTGACCTGGTTTCAGCCTCAGCGCTGAAACCAGGTCGGTTTTTGAAAAAAAGTTTCCGAAACTTCACGGGAGTTGAACTCCCGTGAAGTTTAGCAGCTTTTAATTAAGTTGCTAAACTTCACGGGAGTTGAACTCCCGTGAAGTTTCAATCAGTTAAAAAATTTTTTTGAACTGTGAAACTTCCGGGAGTATCAAGCTCGCCGTGAAGTTTAGCAGCTTAATTAAAAGCTCTAAACTTCAGCGGGAGTTCAAAACTCCCGTGATAGTTGCGAAACTTTTTTCAAAAAACGCGAGCCTGCTTTCAGCGGCTGAGGCTGAAACGCAGGTCGGTTTTTACAAAATATTTGTAAAAAATGGCTGCTTTTTTAGCAAAATAAAAAATCAAAAAGGTTGGTTTTGAGAATTGTACCGCACTTTGGAAAAGCTGAAGCTACGCAAGGATTAGGCGTGGTGAAAAACCCACTTCGCACACCGTGGTCCGAACTTTGACCAGCCACCGGCGCCACCACCGGCCAACCACCGACCCGAATCTCAATACCTGCAAGCCCATAAGATCGGCGGAAAACCAAAACCTCTTTCATTTCTCCAAGGCGACGACGACGAATGGAAAGAGAGAGAGATAATTCCCCCGCAAATGGGGCGGGCCTGCCCCCTCGCGTGGTCAACCGATCTCGGAAGACTCGATGGCGTTGAAGTGCTCCCTGGCGTCCTCGCCGTCGTGACGGCGATATGTCGTACGGCCGCCTAACAGCGTCGTCCACATGCACCACGTCGCGCCCTCGGCGACGAAGGCGCCCGCTGCGTCCGACTTCTCCGAGGCCCGTGCCCATCCGCCACATCCACAAGCTCTCCGTCGACATCGTCGGCCGCCAGGTCTCCTCTAAATTTCGGTTCTTGATTCTTTCTCTGAAAAAAAAAAGATTCTTAATTGTTTGGGGTTTCTGTTTGTAGGAAGGGCAGCCGGGGTTGGAGGAGGCGGCGGAGTATATAAAGGGGCAGCTTCAGGCCTTGGCGGATCGGGCCGGGCCCCAGCTTAGGTTAGTTCATTTGATCCTTTTCACAGTTGTGGTGATTTTCTATTTTAGGGCGAATTTTGTTTGGATTGAACGATTTCGGATATTATTTGCTTGCTGGTTTACTGATTGCTTTGTTACAATGACACCTCGACTTTAGACGTTCTTACAACGGATAACAGTAGCAGAGATTTGTGTTTATTGTTAATTTGTGCTGACTGGTTGATTGGATAGTCAATTTTAGCTGTGGGCGTTACTATGTTATGTGAGATTTTGCTGTGATTGCTCAACATGAATAAATCTAGCTGACAGTAGGAGCAGCTTGATAGCTAGCTCTACCCCTCCCGACTTTCCCCCCACCCCTATGCTATAAGCTATAACATCGCCCAGGTGTTGTTTATTGGTTGTTCCCTCGATCAGACCGGTAAGGATACCAATAGATATGTATAGTCTCATTGATTGGTTCCGCTTGTTATAATGTATTTACTTAAAAAGGCTTTAAACTGCATTTACTGGTATTGGGGGTAATACTGATTAATTTATTATCAAACAAAACTGGGCTCACAAGCCTGGACTAGTTTATTGATTGAAAACCATCTCGGGTGAACCTTACCAGTATCCCTTTGCATGTAAACTAAACAACGATTGATTTGGACATCAGGCAATATAAAGGAAGCAGGTAAACTTGTTCTTTTTTACATGTGGTAGCAGTGGTTTACCTGTTTGTAGAAGCATGATGTGCTGCCGCTGTTTAGGTTTAGACTGCTTGAGCATCAAAGTACTATGCTAATTTCAAAGAGAATAGAAGCAAAAGATATGTACGGGAGAAAATGTTTGCATTCACAAGGAATATAATAAAAGAACACTGACAGGCTTAAAATGTATACAAATGATAAAGAATTATATGTAACTTTTAAGGAAATCTTCTGCATGGACCTTTATCCATTTCCATTAAAAACCATCTTATATGATAATCAATCCACTTAACCACTGTGTAAAGGCTCAATTATAAATCACTATTTCGAAAAGGGTAATGAGAATTTGACAATTGGTGTATACAGAGGCTTTTTATACTCCACCATATTGCTGCTAACAGTTGGCCCTACAATAATGTCCATTTATTTTGTTTGCAGGGTTGTTATGTATTCGTCTATAGGCCCGTGGTCAGCAGTACTTTCGGAACTTGTTGGAACTTATAGGAACTGCTGAGTATTAATTATAGTTGTACTCTAGACTGAACCTTCACTGTGCTGCACTAAATTCAGCTAACAGAGTATGCAGGGTAGCTAGTCTTTAAAATTGTTCACCGTTCATTTGTCATGTGCTGTTAAGATCTAACCTGTCCAAGAAGTTTATAATCCTGTTCTAGTTTGCAAAGGAACTTTAGATATCTGTTTGTTTTTTTCCATTTTGTACTTGTTTTATATGAAGTTGACTATCCCGCATTACATAAGTTTTATCTTTTTCCATTTGACAGAGTGGAGATTGATGAAACACTTGTTAGCGGTTCTTTCAGCATGATGTTTTTGCGCCATAGCATTGCTCTTGGGTACAGGAATCATAAAAATATTGCCATGAGGTATGTCTACTAGGTTACGTAACTTTTCCTTTTGCTTTTTTCAGGGAATGATATTTCAGCCTAAATGTTTATGTGCTTCCAACTATACGACTGAACAATGTGGATTATATGGTTTGAGTTCCATATGGCTTTGATTTGTGTATGATACTTTCCAAATGCATTTTAAGTCATGATGCCATAAAATATGGTACTAATAACTAGTTATTCACAATGTTTGAATGCCACTGACATAGAGTAATGATTTCTAGATGATATGTTAATGTTATGTTTTGTTCTGTTGTATGTATGCATATGCCTTCCTTTAATGGTGAGTTTATATATTTTCTGTGTTACACATCATGGTTGTTGTCAAATGCCTTTGGGTAGTAGAAGGCAAATATCACTCTTACAGACTTATAGTATAGGGTGTTTTCTGCGATGTGTTAATCAAGAAATTCAAACGGAACCTGATCATTTGGTCTATGAGAAATAGGAGAAGGAACTAGAGTTTGTGTTGATTTCTTGTGAGGCTTTGGTGCGCACACTTTTGGCTTCCTTGTTTATAGCGGTCAACATGTTCTGCAGAGAATGAACACAGAGAGAGGGAAGGAGGGAGGAAGGGGAATAAAGAGTTTCCTCTCATATGTTGTTTTGCTTCCAGTGATATCCACTGATATCCCTCTGACTCATGAAGTTTTCTCAATGTTGGTGTTGGAAGTCTATCCAAAGATTGAAGAGTTACTTTGTCCATTGAAGATTGAAGAAGATGTGAACGTTCTAATCATTGTTTTAAATATTCCGATATGGCCCGATATATCCCCAATATGTCCTTTTACAGGGCTTGCTGCAACCGAAATGATCTCAAAATATCATTTACCGTTTTTTGGCTATTTTGGGCAATATATCCCCGATATAGTCGATATATCAGCTGATATGTTGACCGATATGTCCTTTTATACCGCTTGTTGCAATACAATATACTGTGTTTGGTAATTTTTGGGTGACATATCATGACTTTTCCATTATATGAAATGACGTTTTGGCCTCAAAATCAGAAAAAATATTGTAACGCTAATTTGTACTTTTTTGTTTTACAAGGTTGATTAGTGATCCTAAACATATAATATTTACATTTTATATGCTTAAATTTTTATTAAGTATGTTGAGATTATATTTTAGTGCATTATACTATACAAGAAAATATTTGTTATTGCATTTCGATATTTACCATATATCCCTGATATTTTTCTGATATCTGCAATTCAATATGAATTTTGGCTATCCAATATTTTTCCGATATCCGATATTTAAAACATTGGTTCAATATCATCCTTGTAGTTGCCAATTTATTCATAATAGATCTCTCTTTTCCTATGTAATTTTTGGAGCCACTTATTGATGCAAAACAGATAGTGGAGATTTGTTGTGGAGACTTATTTGGATAAAAAAATATAAATCAGAAACATTAAAATTGCATCTCTTATTTTATAAAGAAAAGATACAAATGATGGGCCTCACACTTGGGCACTTCCCATGGCGGTCTCACACGCCTAATATTAGTTGCAATGCACATGCATGGTTTCTTACAAACACTCTCCTTCCTCAAATGAAAAAGTACTTCATTATTTATATAACCAAAACAAATTCCTCATCCGAACTAATAGATAAAAATCAAATAATGCATCCTAACAAAATAACAAATTCAATCCTAACCAAACAACAAACTCAATCCTAATTAAAGATCTCAACTAAAAGAAAAATCAAATCCTTAAGGCCCCATTTGGTAAATGGTTAAAGAGGAGGGACTAAGGAGAAACGTTAACATAGTTAGCCCATTTGTTAATACGAAGGGTTAAATTTTTTAATCCTTTAGGTTAGTTAATTTTAATTCTTGTGGTTATTTTTTGTGTTTTGGAAATAAAAAAAATTATGACCACTTTCTTTAAAAATAGAGGGGTTATCTCTTGTCCTGTCTAAAATGATGGATTTGTAGAACCCTTGTTTTGAGAGATTAACTCATTTTAACCTCTTTAAAAGGATTTGTAAACCCTTCTATTATTTTTTGTGTTTGGCAAATTATCAGGGGTTAACTCAGTTTAGACAATGTGTAAATCTTGTGTGTTTCGCAGGCTAAGGATGAGTGAACTCTCCTTAACCTTTCACTTAACCCTTTGCCAAACGAGGCTTCTATCTCAATCCTAAATGGATATCATTGTACTTTTCAATTGCTGCGTTGCTAATGTAGAAGTTGCAATAGTGGATCTTTTCGGTTTCGAGACCAAATGTCGAGAATGGGTGGTGGAGATTTGCTAAGTGTGATTTAATTGGATAAAAAACACACAAACATTGGAATTACATTTCTCATTTAATAAATAAAAAGATACAAATTTAGGCTTCACACCCGGGCACTTCACATGCTGGCAACTCATATGCCAAATAGTAGTTGCAATTCTTATGCTGGATATCTCTCAAACATTCTTCTCTCCTCCCTCAAATGAAAACATACATTATTTATAGAACTAAAACAAAGCCCTAATCCGAACTAATAGATAAAAATCAAATAACACGTCCTAACAAAATAACAAATCCAATCCTAATTAAACAATAAGCTCAATCCGATCAATAGATCTCAACTAATAGAAAAATCAAATCTATAAAAGAGATCCTAAATTAATATCCATTGAATCTTTTGCCAGATTCAGATCGGATTTGAATCTATCCTGCATCACTTATCCTTCAGTTTCATGCAATCTAAGGCAGGTATCACTTATCCTTTAGCTCCATGCAATCAACAACGTGTGTTTCACGATTCACATTTGATACTTCGTTCCTTGGATTTTTATTCATTTTTCTATAAAACCTAATTGGGGGGGATGGCACAATGAAGAGTTATCGCCGTGTGATTGGAAGTCATGGGTTAGAGTTGTGAAAAGGAAAACTACTGCTTGAAATATGCAAGATAGGGTTACATACAATTGACCCAAAGTGGTCTGACCCCTTCCCAGATCGTGCTTGTAGCTGCAGCTTCGTGCACTGGACTCTAATCAGAAGCTGGTCAGTAATTCTACATTATGATAATGCCTGGAAGCAGCCTTTCTTATGAAAACTTGAGCAAACTAGAATAACTAAGGCTATTCCTTAGAGCTTTCAATATTGAAAGTTCAAGGAATTGAGGGTTTGTTGGTTTGGAAAGGCTGAGGATTTGTTATCTTGTTTCGGTGTTCTTCTTTCTTTTTTCCTATGCTAACTGGGCATGTACCCATGCTTGTACTGAAACTTTGTGGACACTTTTGAATATGTGCATACATTTATTCAGTGTATACTCAATTATATAATACATGTTTAAATTTAAAACACTCCTCATATGCTTCTTAAATGTATATCCTACACTTCACATCTATTTCGTAAATATTGATCTTATTTAAATGTAAAAACAAAATTAATCTTATGTAAATTACTAATTTTAAGTTTTTAACACATAAATATATATAACACGCACATATACCCATGTCCCCGTACCCTACCATTTACAAATTTGCTGTGTTCCATGCCCATACCAATTCCCGTACCAGTACCTGTTCACGTACGGGCGTACCTATGCAACTTAGTGTTCTTCTTTCTGGCTGTACCAATTTGATATCAGAGCACACCTGGTCCTCCTAATCTTCAATCACTTTCATTTCGTTTAACATTAATTCATCCCTTTGTAATGAGTGTTACTGTACGGGAGAAGCAGAGCAATGACATCTACAACCTAATTCAAGACTTGCTTCCTGCTTCTACTTGTCACTTGCACCTTTTTCTGATGATGTGTGGAAACAAATTGAAGACTTTGCCTCCTCAAGCATTGCCCTCCCAGCTTCCGCTGATGTTCCCATCTCACCTATCACCATCAAATAGTTTAGTTCCGAGGAGGTCGAATACGAGTTCGATCAGACCAAGTTCGAGGAATACCTTTCATCCTCGTCTAGATCAACCAACCCCCGCAAGTCCAAGAAGTCCAAGTTCTCCTCCAGGAAAAAAACTCGTTGGTTTGAAGAAGTCGAAGCCACCAACGAAGATCTCGCCCCGTTTGATGCCAAAGTCGCATCGGGAGAGATTCCTCCAGTTTCCAACCAGGTCAGATCTGCTCTGGCCAACCCTTCTGCCGCAGGGGGCGTGGTGACTCTCTCGAAGAGAGCCCGCCAAAGGCAACATCAACGCCTTGCGAAACGAT